GTTGTGGCATCACAAGCCTGTCTGTAATTAACTGCAGTGCAAAAATAAAGAATTAAAAAAAAAAAAAAAAGAATTCCAACGTGTCGGGCTGTCGCAAATCAAGCGCCTCACTGGCATGTTGTTTCGCCGCTGGATATCGGCAAAGTGAGCCATGGCCGTGTAGGAACGCCTGAAATGGCTACACACCTTCCTGGCCTGCTTCAGGACGTCCTGTAAGCCTGTGTACTTATGCACAAAGCGTTGTACGATCAGATTACACACATGTGCCATGCACGGCACATGTGTCAACTTGCCCAACTTCAATGCCGCCAACAAATTTGTTCCGTTGTCACAAACCACTTTGCCGATCTCCAGTTGCTGCGCAGTCAGCCACTTTTCCACCTGTGCATTCAGGGCGGACAGGAGTGCTTGTGCGGTGTGACTCTCTGCTTTCAAGCAAGTCAAACCCAAGACGGCGTGACACTGCCGTATCCGGGATGTGGAATAGTACCTGGGGAGCTGGGGGGGTGCCGCTGATGTGGAGCAAGACGCAGCAGCAGAAGAGGACTCAGCCGAGGAGGTTATGGAAGAGGATGGAGTAGGAGGAGTAGAGGAGGTGGCAGCAGGACTGCCTGCAAGTCGTGGCGGTGTCACCAACTCCTCTGCAGAGCCATGCATTCCATGCTTGGCAGCAGTCAGCAGGTTTACCCAATGCGCAGTGTAGGTGATATACCTGCCCTGACCATGCTTTGCAGACCAGGTATCAGTGGTCAAATGGACCCTTGCCCCAACACTGTGTGCCAGAGATGCTATTACTTCCTTTTGCACAATTGAGTACAGGTTGGGGATTGCCTTTTGCGAAAAGTAATTTCGGCCGGGTACCTTCCACTGCGGTGTCCCAATAGCTACAAATTTTTTGAACGCCTCAGACTCCACCAGCTTGTATGGTAAAAGCTGGCGGGCTAATAGTTCGGATAAGCGCGGGCAAGGGGGTGACTTTCTGACATTGTCTTCTTACGCTCAAACATGTCCTTGACAGACACATGACTGTGGGAAGATGAGCGTGAACTGCTCAAGGCGGGAGGCAGAGTGGCGGATGGTTGAGAGGGGACAAGGAGGACAGCAGTGGTTGACGTGGCTGAAGATGCTGGAGGAGGATGGCGGCTTAAAGTAGGCGAGCTGCTTGTACTCATGTGTTGATCCCATAGGCGTTTGTGATGTGAGATCATGTGCCTACGCAAAGCAGTTGTACCTAGGTGGGTGTTGGACTTCCCACGACTCAGTTTCTTTTGGCACAGGTTGCAAATGGCATCGCTGCTGTCAGAGGCAGACACACAAAAAAAATTCCACACTGCTGAGCTCTGCAATGACGGCATTCTGGTGGTGGACACAGCATGCGTTGATTGGCGTGCTGTCGGGCTGACCCCGGGTGCCGATGCATGCTGTCTGACTGTGCCACTAGCTCCTTCGACGACCTCCCCCTGCTTCCAACTCGTCTCCTCCTCCTCCTCCCTGTCTCCCCATCTGAACTTTCGCCCTGTTCTTCTTCTTGCCGAGCGGGCACCCACGTGACATCCATGGACGCATCGTCATCATCAACCGCTTCACTTGTATCTGACAACTCAGCAAAGGAAGCAGCAGTGGGTACAACATCATCATCATCATCACCACACCGTACGTCCATGTGTGTAATGCTGCCTGCCTGAGACATATCCCTGTTATCTACATCCCCTGGCAATAATGGTTGCGCATCACTCATTTCTTCAAACGGATGTGTGAATAACTCCTCTGACATACCAACTGAAGCGGCTGTGGTGCTAGTTTTGGTGGTGGCGGCAGGCGGGTGAGTGGTATCTTGAGAGGTGCCTGAAGCTAAGCTGGAGGAGGATGGTGCGTCAAGGTTCTGAGCGGAGGCTGTAGAAGATTGGGTGTCCTGTGTTAGCCAATCAACTATGTCCTCAGAACTTTTCAAGTTCAGGGTACGTGGCCTCTGAAAACTGGGCATTATTCTAGGGCCAAAGGGAATCACAGCACCACGACCACGATGGCCCCTGCGGGGTGGCCTGCCTCTGCCTGTCATTTTTTGGGGGATTAGTGGTACTATGCGTGCAGGCTACTGTGAGACCAGATATGAGTGGCAATGTGCACTAGCACAGTTGTGCAGAGCACAGGCTGTAGGCCTGACACCCGCTTTAAGGACACTGACTGCTATTCAAACTATAACAGTGAAAAAAGTTTTTTGTTTTTAAATCCAAGCTATTATGACACCAGTGAGTGGTGGCACTGGGCACCGTATCCACTGTTAGCGTAACACACCCGCTTTAAGGACCCTGACTGCTATTCAATCTATAACAGTGAAAAAAGTTTTTTGTTTTTAAATCCAAGCTATTATGACACCAGTGAGTGGTGGCACTGGGCACCGTATCCACTGTTAGCTTAACACACCAGCTTTAAGGACACTGGCTGCTATTCAATCTATAACAGTGAAAATAGTTTTTTGTTTTTAAATGCAAGCTATTGTGACACCAGTGAGTGGTGGCACTGGGCACCGTATCCACTGTTAGTGTAACACACCCGCTTTAAGGACACTGACTACTATTCAATCTATAACAGTGAAAAAAGTTTTTTGTTTTTAAATGCAAGCTATTATGACACCAGTGAGTGGTGGCACTGGTCACCATATCCACTGTTAGCGTAACACACCAGCTTTAAGGACACTGACTGCTATTCAATCTATAACAGTGAAAAAAGTTTTTTGTTTTTAAATCCAAGCTATTATGACACCAGTGAGTAGTGGCACTGGGCACCGTATCCACTGTTAGCGTAACACACCCGCTTTAAGGACACTGACTGCTATTCAATCTATAACAGTAAAAAAAGTTTTTTGTTTTTAAATCCAAACTATTGTGACACCAGATCTAATTAGTGGCACTTGTCAGCGTATCCACTGTTGGCGTAACACACCAGCTTTAAGGACACTGACTGCTATTCAATCTATAACAGTAAAAAAAGTTTTTTGTTTTTAAATCCAAACTATTGTGACACCAGATCTAATTAGTGGCACTGGTCAGCGTATCCACTGTTAGCGTAACACACCGCTTTAAGGACACTGACTGCTATTCAATCTATAACAGTGAAAAAAGTTTTTTGTTTTTAAATCCAAGCTATTGTGTCACCAGATCTAAGTGGTGGCAGTGGTCACCGTATCCACTGTTAGCGTAACACACCCGCTTTAAGGACACTGACTGCTATTCAATCTATAACAGTGAAAAAAGTGTTTTTTGTTTTTAAATACAAGCTTTGTGTCACCAGATCTAAGTGGTGGCACTGGTCACCGTATCCACTGTTGGCGTAACACACCCGCTTTAAGGACACTGACTGCTATTCAATCTATAAAAGTGAAAAAAGTTTTTTGTTTTAAATGCAAGCTATTGTGACCACCAGATATAAGTGGTGGCACTGACTGGGGAAATGGGCACAGTATCCGCTGTGAGCCTGACACAGAAGCTGGCAGCAGTGGCAGACAACTGACTGCTATTCAATCTATAACAGTGAAAAAAGTTTTTTGTTTTTAAATCCAAGCTATTGTGACACCAGATGTAAGTGGTGGCACTGACTGGGGAAATGGGCACAGTATCCACTGTGAGCCTGACACAGAAGCTGGCAGCAGTGGCAGACAACTAACTGCAATTACATTACATAGAAATTTTTTTTTTAAAAAAGCATACCCTAACCTAGCTATGCATTTCCCTATCTAATCAACAGCAGCTACACTTTCCCTCCTCTCACTAAGCATGCAGCTTGAGAATGAATCTAAAATAGATGGCTTCCAGGAGGTGGGAGGGTCTGCTAGGGAGGGTGTGCTGCTAATTGGCTGGAATGTGTCTGCTGACTGTGAGGTACAGGGTCAAAGTTTACTCAGTGATGACGAATAGGGGGCGGGTCGAACCGCGCATATGTTCGCCCGCCGTGGCGAACGCGAACATGCTATGTTCGCCAGGAACCGTTCGCCGGCGAACCGTTCAGTACATCACTAATTAGCTACTTCACACTTTGATACATATGAAATATTATAATCCAAACATTAAAAGGGGGTGGGGCCTGACAGCCAAACGAGCAGATCACACATGGCTGTAGCTCCTCAGAATCAGCCTGAAAATCAATTATTAATCAAACAAATGTGTCTATATTTTGCCTGACTTACCTATACCTACTTGTGAAATACTCTGCTGATTTGGGTTTTACTGGTACTGACAGCCATGGACTGTGCTGGACTATTCTGAGACCTATGAGAAAACTGAGAATTGAGGAGGCAGCATATCCTCTGCTGACGCTTGATCCATGCCTCATTTGTTCCCCTTCGACTAGCAGGGGTTATCCCGGTCCCCACTGATATGCTCCTTGATCCACTTGCATGGACTTTTCCAGCGAAACGTACCTTGAAAGCCAGAGGCCAGCTCTTTAAGATGGCCAACAACATGCTGAGTACCCTGGCTCACACATACCCACTGATGCTTGGCCAAGTGGACCTGCTCATACTGACATTCGATAAACGATGCATTAAATTCTGTGAACGAATCTAAGCTCGAGCAGTGACTACTCTACCTGAAGATCCAGACATGGCATCCCAGACTAAAGTTCTAGACTGCCAGGATCCAGCTGAGCCTCCTTGTCATCAGTTACGCATAACACGGACAGTGAGAGGACAACACTGGAGGCCAAAGCTAGCACTACCTCAAAGTATTCCTGCTGTCAAACCCCACCATTGTGTCCTTGCACGGCGATCCAGAGGGGGCCCTACCTACAAGTGTGGGCCATGCCATCAGAGTATTCCTGCTCCACAGAGCCTGCTGAACACATCAGGACTGTCGAGAGGCCTTATTCCTGGGTTGACTGTGGCTGGATTCCTGGAGGAACGATGCAAGATCACATCCATGTTTGGGGCTGGTGGAGTGCCCCTCCATGGCTCAGTGGACTCTACTATCTCTGAATATGTTTTAGTACTTATTAAGCATTAGGTTTATGGGTCACGGGCTAGTTCCTACTCCTAACACTACTCTTCTGTACTTAGCACCCAGTTGCACTATTTTCATATGTTTCTCACATGCGTGGTTTGCCTCAGTTTTTCTTTTGTGTTTGCCTAGCATGTTTGTGACTATTCACACCTATATATCATTCTCCTTGTCTGAAGTACCTTGCCAGTGGGGACGTTTATATTTCATCAAGTATTTAGACAAGCATGTCTAGCTTGTTTATATTACATTTATTTTATATTATTTTATATTACTATCTTCATAAAATTGTGCTATTACACTTTTTGCCATGCCAATGTTCTACCACGTCGGCATCTGAATGGCGTGTTCTTGCTGTCGTGGCATTGTAAGCATGTACAGCTCTAATTATAATTTTTCAACCCCCATTGAAAATCAGGTTTATTGTCAAAATTTACAGACTTTCATCTGTTTGCAATGAACAAATCAAACAAAAGCAATAGCTCAACACAACGAATGCTTCAAAACTTACAAGGAAAGGTTAAAGGATCTTAACATTGGAGGAAAGGCGAGACAGGGGGGATATGATATAAACATTTAAATACATAAAGGGAATCAACACAGTAAAGGAGGATACTATATTTAAAAAAAGAAAAACTACCACAACAAGAGGACATAGTCTTAAATTAGAGGGGCAAAGGTTTAACCCCTTCCCGACCGAGGACGTACTAGGTACCTCATCAAAGTCCTTAGTACTTACCCGATTGCCACTGTTCCCCCGCAGGCGATCGGTGTTCCTCCCATTCTGGGTGGACTGTCTGGCAGACCAGACAGCCCCCCTCAGCAAATTAGTCCCCCGCAGGCCATGTGATCGGTCACATTGCCGCAATACCCTTTCATTGTGCTGCCTGCAGGGGGACTGCCTGAACTGTATTTTGATATTAATATATATATATATATATTTATATATTTATATATTTATATCAAAATACACTTAGAATGAAATTATATCTATGTATATATAAATAAATAAAAATAATATGCAATACATAAATATATATATATACACATATATATCCATATACATAATTACATAAATAATTTGAAAAATATACACGTAGACTTCAAATATATAAATATGTATATATATTTAAATTCCACGTGCATATTTATGTAATATTTTTACATAATTAAGTAATTTTATTGATTGCAATTTGAGGGACCTGTCTGACAACCCAGGCAGAAAGTCCAGAGAATTTAATTTGCTAGCACTGTATTTAACTTTGTAACTTTCCATAACACCCTAAAACCTGTACATAGGGGGTTCTGTTTTACTCGAGAGACTTAGCTGAACATAAATATTAGTGTTTCAAAACAGTAAAATATATCACAGCGATGATATTGTCAGTGAAAGTTAAGCTTTTTGCATTTTTCACACACAAACGGCACTATCACTGATGATATCATTGTTGTGATACATTTTACTGTTTTGAAACACTAATATTCGTGTTCAGCAAAGTATTCTGAATATAACAGTACCTCCAATGTACAGGTTTTATAGTTTTTATGAAAGTTATAGGGTCAAATATAAGGCTTCATTTTCTGTTTTTTCACATTGAAATTTTCCAGATTTGTTACGTTGCCTTTGAGAGCATATGGTAGCGTAGGAGTGAGAATTACCCCCATGATGGGATAGCATTTGAAAAAAAAGACAACCCAATGTATTGCAAATGGGGTATATGTCCAGTCTTTTTTAGTAGCCACTTAGTCACAAACACTGGCCAAAGTTAGTGTTCATAATTGTTTTTTGCATTTTTAACACACAAACAAATATAAAAGAACATGTTAACATTGGGTATTTCTAAACGCAGGACAAAATTTAAAAACTATTTGGCACGGGTGTTTTTTGGCGGTTGTAGATGCGTAACAGATTTTGGGGGTCAAAGATATAAAAAGTGTTTTTTTTTTTTAAATAATTCATCATATTTTAATTTTTTTTATAGTAAATTATATGATATGATGAAAATAATGGTATTTTTAGACCAAATAATAGCAGAAAAACGGTATATAATATGTGTGGGTACAGTAAATGAGTAAGAGGAAAATTACAGCCAAACATAAACACCACAAAAATGTAAAAAAAAAAGTTTTAAAAAAAACAGCCCTGCTCCTTAAAGAAAATTGAAAAAACTGTCTGGTCACTAAGGCGTTAAAAATGATAGCAGGTCTCCTCTTGGATGAGGTAAGCAGAGATATCACCCGATCGAGAAGACTTTTTTACGAAAAGTCCAATAAAATGGATACGTTATTAGCTAGAGCCCTCAGACCCAAACAAAAACATAAACACATCACATCCATCACCAACGAACGGGGCCAATCCCTCACTTCCCCACAGGACATTGCCGAGGAATTCACCAATTTCCTACGGCAACTATACAATCACTCCCCGGAGAAAGATGAAACCAACAGGGAACACGTAGAGGCAGTCACAAACTTCCTGGCCAGTATAAACCTACCCAAACCAAATCGGGAAGACCTAATAGACCTAGAGTCACCAATTACGACAGAAGAAGTAGACAGGGCCATAGGATTGATAGAGGGCAATAAGACACCAGGACCAGACGGGTTTGACAGGGCCTACTATAAAGCACTGCAAGCAGAATTAGCACCTCACATGACAACAATGTATCAGGAATGGATGGAGGGGGGACGTCCCAACGCAGAGCTCGCCACGGCGAACGTGGTTCTTATCCAGAAACCGGGACGGGACGAATCGAAGGTGAACAATTACCGCCCCATCTCCCTGATTAATGTAGACTCCAAAATCTATGCCAAGATCCTGGCCATCAGGCTGGGTCACATTCTGCCCAGGCTGGTCCACCCAGACCAGGTGGGCTTTGTGCCAACTAGGCAACTGTATGAGAACACTAGACGTGCAGTGGACCTGATCTGGTGGGCCGGTAAAACTCGGACGCCTTCTCTCGTCCTATCGCTCGACGAGGAGAAGGCCTTCGACAGGATCCAATGGTATTACTTGTTCGCCCTATTGCGTCACATAGGCCTACCAGAAAACTACATCACAGCGGTAAAAGCACTGTACATGAATCCACAGGCCCAAATAGCCATACCAGGAGCGATCCCAAAACCATTTCAACTAAGTAACGGCACGAGGCAGGGCTGCCCTCTCTCGCCGCTCCTCTTCATACTAGCCCTAGAACCCCTCCTCTACAGGATTAGGGAACACCCAAACATAAAGGGACTGACAAAAGCAACAGAGCAGTATAAAGTATCTGCGTACGCAGATGACACCCTGCTCACTCTCACGGACCTGGAGAACTCCCTCCCGAGTCTAGTCCGGCTACTAGAGGAGTTCGCCCAGGTGGCAGGCTATAAAATAAACATGGACAAATCAGAAGCCATGCCACTGGGATTGACGGCGGAAGACACGGCGCTAATAGGGAGGATGACGCATATAAAGCTGAACCACCAACATATAAAATACTTGGGGGTCAAACTAACAAAAGAGGTCTCACGACTGTATACGGAAAACTACACACCAATGATCAAAACAATAACAAAAGACTTAGAAAAATGGCATGAGAAGCCGATCTCATGGATAGGCCGTCTTCATGCAATTAAAATGAATGTATTACCGAGGATGCTGTTCCTCTTCCAGGCACTGCCCACGAAAGTCACGAAAGGGGACCTCCAATCCCTACAAACCAACATAGACCAATTTGTATGGGCACACAAAAGACATAGGATAGCCCGACACATACTCTACCGACCAAAGGGACTAGGGGGACTGGGACTTCCTAATCTTCACCTGTATTACCTGTCGGCACAGCTAGCCCAAATAATAGAGTGGCACTCACCCCCAGATAGACGCAGATGGGCAGACATGGAATCCTTAGTGATGGGAAGAGACCTTCCCCAGTATTGGATCTGGGTACCAAAAGCAGACAGACCACCCTTACTCACAGACTGCCCATCTATACTCAACTCCATTAAAATATGGGACGCCAACGCTCAAAAATATGCTCTAACGAGAATGGCCTCACCTCTCACCCCATATTTGAGAAACAGGGCATTCACACCAGGTATGTGGGCGAGGGACTTCAAAGGTCTGGAATACGCAGGCCTGCAGACATACTATCACCTATACGACGGATAGTCTTTGACGAACTAAAACAGACAGCTCCACTACAGACTAGAGACTTTTTCAGATATATACAACTAAGGGACTTTGCTAACCATCCTAGAGTAAGAGAAGTAGCTAAGGCTGCAATGACTAGCTTTGAAAGATTATGCATAACAGAAACCACACGCAAGGGACTGATTACCGGGCTTTACGCACAACTTAGTGCCCCGGAGAGGAACGCAGAACCCCTCACCTATATCACCCAATGGGAGAAAGATCTACACCAAACACTGGAAGGGGAGGACTGGAGGGATATATGGGAAGCGACAGCCAAAGTCTCCATATGCGTAACACTTCAGGAACAGGCATATAAAACCCTCCTGAGGTGGTACGCCACCCCGGCCAAATTATATAGAATGGGGAAAACCACCACAGATACTTGCTGGAGAGGCTGTGGTGAGAGAGGATCATACATCCACATGTGGTGGACATGTCCCAAGGTAGAGAGATTCTGGTCGGAAATAGAGACATTAATGACAGCAGTCCTGGAGAGACCAATACACAGAGACCCATGGACATTTTTATTAGCCAAACCACAGGATGACCTGACGACAAAAGAACAGAAACTAGTTAACAAACTGACCCTAGCAGCCAGAAGAGCACTGACCCAACAATGGCTAAGCCCCGACATGCCCCCTATGAGCAAAGTCATCCACAAAATACAGGACAATTTCACCATGGACAAATTGACAGCGCAGGTACGGAACACCATGGGCACTTTTTCAAAGGTGTGGCAACCGTGGGAGGAATATCAAGAAAGAATGGCGCGCACACCATGAGACACTAGAGCCAACCAAAGCGGCACCCACCACCACACACACATGAA